GACGAACGGGCAATTATACAAAATTAATGAGGGTATGATCGCCTTTCAAAAGTTTCCCTTCAATCTACACTTTTTAAACATCTGTTTGAGTCACAATGAGATTTTTATTTTTATTTTCATTCTTCTACTTATTTTAAATCACACATTTTTCAATAAAATAATATTTTCGATCACATCAATAACTTTTCCTTCTTTTTCAACTACACATTCTCCATCATTCTACTATTTCAGAATACATTCTTTCAAAATAATATGGCTCAAACACACCCTAAATATGGTAGATTAGATAGATGGATTGAATTTATTATTTTCAGAATAATTTCTTAGGAATGCAATATTGTTTTTAATATGTAATATTAGGTTTGAAAAAAATTAACTATATAAGTAATATTTTTTTAATAAATTCTATATATAAATATTAATCGACTTAATAAAATATGCCATTTTAAGTTTTAAACTATGTAACATATTTAGCTAATTTACTAAAAAAAGGGATACACATGTAGCTCTTCACATTCAAAATCCTCCCATATTATTTTATAAATTCAAATAATAATTGAATGGAAAGTTATAAAACTTATTAAATTCTAATAATAATTGAAGGATGAATTAATAATTTTACAAAATTAACGAGGATATTATCGTCTCTTAGAAGTTTCTCCTCAATCCCCACTTTTTAAATATTGTAGATAATTTAATGTTGATAATATCTACGATGTTTGACACTGTGACCACTGACAACAAAAAAACTAATTGCATATTCTATTAGGTTTCTTTCTTGACGGTATCGGCTTTTACATGCCATCTTAACTCCTTCAACCCCATTTTATGCAGTCGAGTAATACTATTCATCACAATTAGTGTTAAACATGCTAGCATAGATGATAATTATATGACATTGAATGATAAATTCTTCTAAATGAAAAATCACGTAATTTATTTAATTGAACCGATAAAGTGATGGGTGCTTTAGTAACACTATTACGTAGATAACATTATTTTATGTAACCTAAAACCCTAGTATAACTGAGCTCGCTCACAACCTCCATTGTGTATAAATTTCATTTTTCACCTTTTATTTATAACGAGGATTCGGAACATCACACATCGATCAATCAAAAAGATATCAACAATTTTAAAAAAAGATAGATTCTTTAACATCATTCCTTTTTTCGATGGAAGGAACATACATAGAACCAAATCCATTCTCGAAACGTCTCTCAGGAGATTTCTCAATGTCCCGACCTTTTAGTGAAACTGAGAAATAGTCATTTCCTTTCGAAGGAAAGGCACGATTGGGTAGATTTGAAAAAGCATTTTTAGAATCGTGGGTGAAAATAAAGAACGATGCATAAATTTATTTATTTATTTAAGTTTGACGATAAATATTTGTCATCTGTACAAATCACATCCCTGTTTTGGATCGAAAATCGAAGCACGAATGACGAACCAGGGTGAAAATGAATTAAAAATAAAAAGTTGATACTAAATCGCCAATAAAAATACAATCAATTAATAACCAAAATAGAGGAGCTCAAACAATTCCCAAATTCCCTTTTCTCCCCCATTTTCACATCTTCTGCCTTCAACTTCGGCCCAAACGCCCACACACACTGACACTATACACAAGATTTCAATCTTCCTGTACTTTCTCATTTTTCATTTTCACCGGTTTCGATTCAAGGTTTTTGATGGCGAATGAATCCTCTAGCATCGACAGCAGCAACGGAACGACGGCCTCACTGGCGGATTCGTACATTGGAAGTTTTATTAGCCTGACTTCGAAGTATGAGATCCGATACGAGGGTATTCTCTACCACCTCAACCCCCAAGACTCCACCCTCGGCCTAAAAAGCGGTACCTCTTTACGCCTTCGTTTTTGTTTCTCAATAATTTGTCCATCGTTTACATACATATGTGAGATTAATGTACCCGTGTCGTCAACTCTTGATTTTTTTTTTTGTGTTTTTGTTCAATTACGCCCATGTACACAGGTGTATTTTCAGTAAACTTCCTTGTGAAAGCGGAATGTTCGAAGCATACTGTTTATGGGTATTTCAGCGGAGACTCCATTTTGTACATGTATTGGATTTGACATGGTTTTATTTTCTCAAAATTAATATAGTTACCAATAATGAAATTCGAGTTTACTGGTTACATAATTGGAGCAAGATTAATTTTTTTTTCCCGTGTATTAATTTTAAGCATTTGCTTTCCTTACGACTTACTATTCCCGTACTTTCAAATGTTTAAGTTTCAGTATTTCATTTGTAATTTGTTGCATTATAGAGTTCTTTGTCTGTATTGTTTTCTTCCCGAAAATACTAATTCTCTTTTTATATGTTTGAGATTACATCTATTTCTTCCTGGCGCACCAAATTTCAAAGTTTTGGCCGTGTCTCCATTTTTTGTATTCAATTGATTAAATTTCCAAAGCATTTTGTACCATTAACTAGCAAATAAATATTGTGAAAAATATTCCGTTTAAAGAATCTCAATAATACATTCTAATTCAGATGCCTTTCCTAGCCACTAAGTACGCCTGGGTCTGAAACCATTGTGCGAAAAATTAAGGTAAGGAGGACTATTAAAACTCTTGATACAAAGGTATTCAGACGTTTTTATCTAAATCCCTAATTCAACCAGTCAAGTCCGTCTCCTATTAATGAAGTGTTAGACTGTTAATCTTCACTGGCAGTTTATGCAACACAGGAAAATATAATGATATCCAGTTTATGCAACACAGGAAAATATAATGATATCGTGGTCTTATTTATACATTTTTGAATAAAGGTCTAAAATTGATACACATGTTATTAGTTTGAGCCGAGGAACAAAAAAGTTGCTGCACTTCTATGAACTTTTTTCACCCTCTGGTTTGTTACTTTTTTTTTTTCAAAAGCTTTCTTACTTTCCGTTAATTGTATAATTGACTTCGGGCTGTGTTTGGTTGATCATTCTTGCAGTGTGGTCTTATGGAACTGAGGGAAGAAAGAAAGATGGCCCACAAGTTCCTCCGAGCGACAAAGTCTATGAATACATTTTGTTTCGTGGAAGTGATATTAAGGTAAATTTATAAACTAGAGTCAGGGGACTCTCTATTTTAACATTTAAAAATAGAGTATATTCCTAATGTATAATGATTGTATTTAATAAGTCATAGATTTCAATACTCTATTTTTTAAACTATTCAAACTGCATTTAAATTCATTGGCCATTGACATATAAAAAAATATGTTATATATTGTACGAGGAGAAATCAATAAATGTTTTTTGAAAAATCAAAATGAAGAGTCAAAATAGAGAGCATTATTGGACTGTATAAAAATTTTGACTCTAAATTTAAAGATGTTATCTATAATGCATAAGATGTTCTCTATAAAGAAAGAATCTATTGGAGATACTCTTACTATCTCTATTCTTTTGGTTACAAATCTTCTTATCTTATGGTCGTCTTTAGCTATTATCTTGTCTGCTCTTACTTACTCTTTTGTGTTCAATTCTAATTGGACTACAATTTTACTGGTGTTTTTGAAGTTTCTTGCATCCATCTTGAACTCTATATTATGTTTTGTGTCCGTTTACCCATCTTACTCTCCCTCTCCTTTGCTCTCTTTCTTTTCCTGGATTTAAATTTGTTGTTTGTGTTGACTAGAAGCAGGTATAATTTTACGGTACACTGCTACTATAAACTAGATTCATTTTGATGTTCTAAAATGATATCATATTAAGGATCATGCTCATTACATATGTTTCGAGATTCATCTATTTATTTCCCCCCTTGATTCGTTGAAAACTTTTATGCATGTTTTTGTCAGTAATGAACCCGAAGATAATAAACCATGTATGTGAAGTGGGGCAGTAATTCATTATATGTGGGACTACTTTAAAGAATGTTTTTAGGAAAGTGTTCACAGTCTCTCAAGAAGGGTTTGCTTATGGATGAGGCCTAAGAATTTTGGAAACAATTGTGATTGTTAGAATTTGGGTGTGACCCGAATTCTTTGTTTGAAGAATTGAAGAANCCGAATTCTTTGTTTGAAGAATTCTAATTGAAGTGCACGTTAAGAAGAATTCAAGTTTGGAATGCTATTGGAATCCTATGTTAAGTTGAAGTTCTATTTTGGAAGTCCATTGGGAGTTGAAAATTGGTATTTGACTTGAAGAAGAGTTCGGGATGGAGAAAACAACTTGGAGCCAAAAAAAAAATAAAAATTCGGGTAGATTGCTCGGGGCTGCGGCGCCACTTGTTTTGTTCATTTTTCTGCGTTTTCTTCTCTTACTTTGTTTTGGACTCGATATTTTGGCATCCTACTTCATCAACAACTCTACTAAGAGGGTTTGGATATCCCCTACACGTTCCCTGTAAATATTAGGCTTTTCTATACAATTTAATAAGTGTGACAAAATAGATTAGTAGAATTATAGAATCAGTTGTAATTTTCTCCCTTCTCCATTA